TTTAAAAACAAACTTCTAATTTATTTAGAAGTTGTCTGTCTTAGAGCCTGGGTAGCTCAGTCAGTTAAGTGTCTGCCTTTGGCTCAGGTCATGACCTAGGGATCTAAGGATCAAGCTCCAGAGTGGGCTCTCTGCTCAGAAGGGAGTATGCTTCTCCCTCTCCCTCTCTAATTATTCTCTTGCTCTCTCTCTCTCTCTCTCAAATAAATAAAATCTTTAAAGAAAAATAAGTTCTCTGTCTTTTCTCTCATTGTTACACATCTAGTTGGCAGAATTACAACAACAGCAAGAAAAAACAATTTGTTCTGTACAAGGAAACTGCCATAAGACTAATAGCAAATATTTCAGCAGAAGCTTTGCAGACCAGAAGAAAGAGGCATAATATATCCAAACTTCTCAAAGGGGGAAAAAAACAACCAAGAATACTCTGCTGGTAAGATTATCATTCAGGATTGAAGGAGAGATAGTTTTACAGACAAACAAAAGCTAAAGGAGTTCATCACTACTAAACTGTCCTTATAAAAAATGTTAAAAGGATTTCTTTAAGCTGAAAAGAAAGAGCATTAATTGATAACAAGAAAACAAATGAAAGTATAAATCTCACTGGTAAATATATAGAAAGGTAGTGGATTATTATAAAACTTCTATGCAGGTTAAAAGACAAAAGTAATAAAAATATAATAGTGAGTTCAGGGACACATGATATAAAATGTGATATCAAAAATAAGATGTAGGAGGGAGTAAAAATGTAGACTTTTAGAATTTGACCAAATTTCAGTTGCTATCAACTTCAAATAGACTGTTTTATATATGAACATGTATATGATATTACATGTGAGCCTTATGTTAAGCAAAAAGCAAAATCTGATATAGATATACAAAAGACAGTAAGAATGGAATCTAAGCACAATACTAAATAAAGTCATAAAAACACAAGGGAAGAGAACAAGAGAAGAAGAAAGGAACAGAGAGGAGCTACAAAAACAGTCAGAAAACAATTAACAACAGGCAACACTTATATACCTATTAGTTATTACTTTAAATGTAAATGGACTAAATACTCTAATCAAAAGACACAGAGTAGCTAAATGGACAAATAAACAAGACCTATCTATATGCTGCCTAAAAGAAACTCACTTCAGATATAAAAAACCCAAAATCTAGAGGCAAAGGGATGGAAAAAATTGTTCCATGCAGATGGAAACCAGAAGAAGACTGGGGGAGCTGTACTTACGTCAGACAAAATAGACTAAAACAAAAGTTATAATAAAAAACAAAGATGGGCATTACATAACGATTAAGGGGTCAATCCAACAAAAGGATATATATTTGTAAATCTTTATGTACCCAACATAGGAGCACTCATATATATCCATTTACATCAATGGATAGATCATCCATATGAAAAATCAATATGGAAACACTGGCCTTGCCTTCAGTGACACGTTAGACCAGATAGACTAAACAGATATATACAAAACAGTCTATCCAAAAGCAGCAGGACAAATATTTTTCTCAGTGCACATGGAAAAGTCTCTAGCATAGATCATATATGTTAGGTCACTAATCAGGTCTCAATAAGTTTAAGACTGAAATAATACCAAGTATCTTTTCTGATCACAGTGATCTGAAACTAAAAATCAATTAGAAGATGAAAACTGAAAAAAAAAAAACAAAAACAAGTATATGGAGATTAAACAATGTGCTACTGAATAACCAATGTGTCAATGAAGAAATCAAAGGAGAAATTAAAAAAATACCATGAAAATGGAAATACAACTTACCAAAATCTTTGGGATGTAGCAAAATCAGTTCTAAGAAGAAAGTTTATAGTGATAAAAGCTTACCCCAAAAAGCAAGAAAAATCTCAAACAATCTAACTATATACTTCAAGGAACTAGGGAAAAAAAAAAAAAAAAAAAGACCAATGAACTAAGAGCTGGTTCTTTGAAAAGATAAACAAAATTGACAATACTTTAGATAGACTCAAACAACAGAGGATTCAAATAAATAAAATAAAAAGATTTACAACGGATACCACAGAAATACAAATATAGATAAAGACTACTATGAACAATTATATACAAAGAAGTTGGCCAGCCAAGAAGAAATGGATAAATTCCTAGAAACATACAATTTTTTAAGACAGAATAATGAAGAAATAAAAATTTGAGTAGACTGATTACTAGTAAGGAGATTAAAGCAGTAATCAAAAACCTCCCAACAAACAAGATTCTAGGTCTTACACCTTCCTCGGTGAATTCTACCAAATATTTAAAGAAGAGCTAATGCCAATGCTTCTCAAACTCTTCCAAAAAAAAACAGAAGATGAGAGAATGCTTCCTACCTCATTTTACAAGGATACCACAAAAAAAGAAAACTACAGACTGATATCCCTGATAAACACAGATGCAAAATCCTCAACAAAATAGTAGTGAACTAAATTCAACAATAGATTAAGAGGATCATCAAGTGGTATTTATTCCAAGGATACAAGGATGGTTCAACATCTACAAATCAATCAAAATGATACACCACATTAACAAAATGAAGGATAAAAATTATCTCAATAGATACAGAGAAAGCATTTGATAAATGGATTCAACATCCATTTATGATAAAACCTCTCAACAAAGTGGATATAGAGGGGATGTACCTTATATAGAGGCCATATAAGACAAGCCCACAGCTAACATCATATTAAATGGTAAAAAGCTAAAAGCCTTTTCTTTAAGAAAAGGTAAGGATGCTCACTCCTACTACTTTTATTCAACAGAGTATTAGAAGTCCTAGCCATTGTAATTAGGCAAGAAAAAGAAAGAAAACACATCCAAATTGGAAGGGAAGAAGTAAAACTGTCACTATTTGAAGATGACATGATAGAATTAATAAATTCAGTAAAGTTACAGGGTAAAAAATCAACATACAAAAATCTATTGCATTTCTATAAACTAACAACTATCAGAGAAATTTTAAAAATCCCATTTATAATTGCATCAAAAAGAATGAAATCTAGGAATAAATTTAACCAAGAAGGTAAAAAACTTGTATGCTGAAAACTGTAAGACATTAACAAAAGAAACTGAAGACACAAATAATTGTAAGATATTCTATGCTAATGGAGTAGAAGAATTAGTATTAAAATATCCATATTACCCAAAGCAATCTATAGACTCAATGCAATCTCTATCAAAATTCCAATGGCACATTTCACAAAGATAGAAAAAATAATCCTCAAATGTGTATGGAACCACAAAAGACCATGAATAGCCAAAGCAATCTTGAGAAGAACAACAAAGCTGGAGGCTTCATGCTCCCGGATTTCAAACTATATTACAAAGCTATAAAAATGAAAACAATATGGTACTGACATAAAAAGACTCACACAGATCAATGGAACAGAATAAAGAGCCCAGAAATAAACCCATATATATGGCCAATTAACTTACAACAAAAGAGGCAAGAATATACAACAGGGAAAGGACAGTTTCTTTAATAAATGGTGTTGGGAAAACTGGATGTTATATGCAAAAGAATGAAATTAGACTATTATACTATACATAAAAATAAGCTGAAAATGAGTTCAAGACTTTACGACCTGAAACCATAAAACTTCTACTACAAAACATAGCCAGTAAGCTTCTTGACATCATTCTTGGCAATGATTTTTTTTAGATCTGACTCTAAGAGTAAAGGCAACAAAAGCAAAAATAAACAAGTGGTAATACAGCAAATTGAAAAGCTTCAGAAAAGAAAATTATCATAAAAGTGAAAAGGCATTACTGAATTGGAGAAAATATTTGCAAACTATGTATCCAAACTCATACAAGTCAACATCAAAACAAAACAACTGATTAAGAAATAGGCAGAGGGTCTGAATAGGCACTTTTTCCAAGAAATACAAATGGCAAACATGAAAAAGTGCTCAATATCACGAGTCATCAGAGAAATGCAAATCAAGACCACAATGACTTTTCACTTCACACCTGCTGGAATGGTTATTATCAAAAAGACAAGAAATAACTAGTGTTGGTGAAGACTGGTAAAGGTGTGGAGAACAGGGAACCCACATGTACTGCTGGAAGAAATGTAAATTGGTACAACCACAAATGGAAAACAGTATGGAGTTTCATCAAAAAATTAAAAATAACTTTTAGTTATAAGATAAATAAGTTAAGGAGATGAAAAATACAGCATAGGGAATATAGCCAATCATGTAAAATAGAAAGTGAATAGAACTAATGATCTAACAATTCTGAGTATTTTACCACAAAAAGACAAAACACTAATTTATCAAGAAATATGCACCCTTGTGTTTACTGCATCATTATTTACAACAGCCAAGATATGAAAAGAACCTAAGTGTCCATCAATGATTGAAAGGACAAAGAAGATGTGGTGTAAACACACGCACGCACACACACACACACACACACAATGCACACATAATGGACTACTACTCAGCCATAAAAAAATGAAATCTTGCCATTTGTGATAACATGGATGGACCTTGAGGGTATTAGGCTAAGTAAAATAAGCCAGACAGAGAAATACAAATATTGCATGATCTCACTTATATGTGGAATCTAAAAAACAAAACAGATGAACAAATAAAACAAAATTTATGTATTCAGAGAACAGAATAGTGGTTGCAGGGGCAGAGGGGGAGTACACACTTCTAGTTGTGAAATAAATAGGGATATGATGTCTGGCATGGTGATCACAGTCAATGGTACTGCATACATATTTGGTTGTCAGAAGAATGGATCATGAACATTTTCATCACAATGAAAAAAATTTTTTTGTAACTTTTAACGGTGATGGATGGTAGCTGGACTTACAGTGGTGATCATTTGCAGTATGTACAAGTGTCAAATCATTATGTTATATACTTGAAACTAGTCTAATATTTATGTCAACTATATCTTGATTAAAAAAAATTAAGGACCTTCTTTAATAATGTCAGGAAAATAATGTGATACTCACTAGTCTTCACTCACCTTTGGACCTGGTAATCCAGGTAACCCAGGATTTCCATGTGGCCCTGGTATGCCCTGCAAATAGTAAAGAGGTCAGATCGCTCTTAGAACAGATCCAGATACAAATAATAGGCAATAAACAATGTTTATTGCAACATTCAAATATTCCACAGCATAATTTCATTAAAATGAATGGGACCTTTTTTTTCCCCCCCCACAAAGTTCTTTATGTTTTCCTAGATGTTGGATATTTCACTCTTGGACAAGAGAGCTACACTAATTACAGAGGAGGACTGTATTTTCCATCTTTTGATTCAAAATCCTGCCTTGAGATGCTTACCTCCCTAATTTTTCACCCCTATCTCCAGCCATATTGCATAGTGCTATTCTAAAAGCTGTGTAGAGTAAGAAGCCTAAAAATAAGAAAGTGCAAATGTTTAATCTTCTGCTAACATGTGTTAACCCTTTCTGCACTTGGGTTTTTGTTTATGCCATTATGTATGCCTATAAGACTTAGTTCATTTCATTTTGCCCCCCTACAGCTGCCCGAATCATTCTTCAAGTGTCAGCTAAGATCCCACCTCATTTTTAAGTCCTAGCTACACTGTCATAAAGTGATTTCTCTTTCCTACTAACTTCCATAGAAATTGCTGCCTGGAAAATTCATTTGCAATTAATTGTATATGCTTTAAGATATTTCTTACACTGTTTAATCTGTTCTTTAAATATTTTATTGCTATTTTAATTATCTTATGACATGTGCCATTTAGTTCTAGGATTTTTTTGAAAAGGGACTGTTTTTCATATTACCAGTATAGCACTTGGAACATATTAGATACTCAATAAATATTTGTCAATAATTGCTTCTATTTACCAACTATGCATAGATAACTGTGCTAATGCTTTATATTTCCTATTACCTATTTACAGATGAAGAAACTTAAGCTCATGGGACCAGCAAGCAGAGGAACTAAGATTCACTTCCAGAAAGCCTTTCAGGTGACCCTATATTCATCTGGGTTTGGTAGCCACTCCTGGGCTCTTCAGCCATACTTCTAGGTTAACATATCACATATAGTTAATAATTACTTATTTTTCGGCCTTTTCAATTCTGAATTGATAGAGCATTGTGTTTCAGAAAGGAGAGAGACATCAGCAATGGCAATACTGGAGGCATATCTAGCAAAATCAAAACTAAGGAAAAAACACGAGATGTTATGACACATGCCATTTGTAACCTTCAAAAAGTAAATTTCAATAAAATAGGTGGAAAGATTATGGAGATTTACAAGTGAGTTTTTGGTGGACATGTAGGGCAATGGCATAAACTATTATTTTACAAAGCTCAATAGCGCAATGGTGAGCTAGGAGCATAACTTTAGGAAAAATTAATGTCAATGAAAGTTTGAGGGTTTTTCTTTAAGAATAATTTGTTAGTTGTTGCCAAATGAGACAAAATCTAGGAGAAAAAATATTAAAAGTTGCAAGTTTTAAGATAAGTAATGGAATGAGGATAAAATTAGGCACACAAATGGGATAATTGGTCTTGAGAAGAGGAATACTGTTCCTTCCTTAAAGAAAGGATTAGAAAAATTTTTAAAAAAGATAAAAATTAAAGAAGGAAACTGCTGCATCATGAGAATAGTTGGAGCCTCAGACGTTGAAGGTCATGCTGTGGGGACAGCCTCCATGGTGGAAAGGGAATGGAATCAGAGCAGAAAGAGATCCAGTTCCTCAGAAGAGTAGGACCCAAACAGAGTGAGGAGGATAGAAGTGGTGCACCAGCTATGGGAGGGGGAGTGGGCGCGTTCATGAGAGACTCTGAGGGGAACATGATAGGTCATCAAGTAGAAATAAACCAAATGCCAAACAAAACTACCACCAGTAGTGTTCATTTAAGGCCTCATACAGACAAGAGTTTGTTGTGAATATGGACGACTCACAGTATTAGTTCAGGATGATTTTTCATTATATTGTTTATATGACAGATAAAAATCAGAATAGAAAGAAAGTGGATTGTCCATGGCATACGCATTTGTCTTTGTAACAGTCGTAATTCCTTTCCTGGCTCTTAGAAGAATTCCTGTTAGTAAAAGTCCAGGTTGATTTTTTTCAGTTTCAAAAGAAATGAATTTTAACACAGCAGTAAATCTTTTTTGGACCTGTGTAATGTGAGAAACTACTGCTGATCCTTAAGGCAGCTTTTTCCTCAGGACAATTATTTTTCTAGTCCATAGTTCCAGCATTTTCCACTATGTAATCCAGGAACGTACTATTTTAAGGCAGCTCACTCCTCTTCATTTCCCAAAGCAAATGAACCCCACCTTGAACTATCAACTACTGATGAGATCACTTTATAACGAAGAATAATGTTACAAGTAGCACTAGACGAGCCACTAATCTACAAATTTGATAATCCTTCTTGGGCATGTTCACAGAGAACGCTTTGGCTGGGTGTTTACTCTCAAATAAACAAGCTGCACATGTTCCCGAGTTTCTCTTGAATTGGCAAAGGTAGGGAGGGCTATGTTTGAAGATCCAGGCAGGTTTCCAAAGGAAGTACATACTGTACAATACTAGGAAGAACATACTGCAAAGTTACTAATTCTAACAGCAAGTGGGACATGGAGCCCATTCACTTACCCGTGGACCTCTCTTTCCTGAGGGACCTGGGATACCTGCTGGACCCGGTGGACCCTTGGAAAACAATTGCCGAGATGTTAGACACTGTAATAGACACATCTTTTCTCAAAAGTCTCATTAAGATTCCCATACTAGGGCTTTTTTTTTCAGTCCCCAGTTCCCAGCTGATGATGATTTTAAAGTAACATGAATCCCCTCACCCTAATCAGCAGGGGTGAGAGTTGAAACTCAAGTGTCCTCTTTAATCTGGCCAGAAATGGCAGCAGGAAGTCTGTGACTTATGGTTACAGCCACTGTATCTGGTTTTTACAGGGACCATAACTAGTAGTTTTGTGGGTAATTTTTACCTAACTTTACTTTTACTACTGAAGGCGGAATTCAATTTAGGGTTTGGAGACCGACAAATACAGGTTTTTCCAAACACATTTCAAAAGACTTGCCCTGAAAAATTAAAGCACTGACCATATTATGTTCTTTTAAAAAACTTATAGCAAGAATCTGTGTAATGTGTTAAATTATTATAATGAGATCCTTCTAATATATTCAGTAATAAATCTGCCTTACACCAAATATAGCATACCCAGAGGTCAGTAATAGACTTAAATAGTTTGCAAAACAAAGTAGGAAAGCAAAAATTGATCCATTTTAAAGTGTTGTGAGTTCTTTAAATGTTACTTATTAAATATATCAAATAAGAAATAGGAAATTACTACTTTACTTCCTCATGTAATGCTTTCTATCATCTTTTTTACTTTAACAATCAACTGGGGCAGAATGAATGTTCATTTGGGATATGGTTAACACATTCATTCATTCATTCATCTTTCATTCACTTGTTACTGAGCACTCTGCTGACATGGAATTATTCTTCATGTCTTTAGGCCATATACATCTTCCATTTTACAAATATTCATTCAACATAGCCTTCAAAATAGTATGAACATTGAAATTAAACATACCAAAGTTAAAGTACTAGCCTTCTCATTAACAAGTAGCATGACCTAATGAGCCTTATTTTTATCAGGCATTTTTTCTTATTTCTCATTCTTGATATTAACTACTCTTTGAAATTTTCTTCTTTTATTTATATTACAGTCATTTTGAAGTTTTATAATGTTCTTTATATATTTCGAACTGTCCATTTTCCTTTAATTATATTTTTTCCTCTCTTATCCCCTAACTTGATAAAAACCTTTCATGTATTTCCTAATATTGAGAGATAAGTCCTATTTCTATTCAACCTCAGACTGAGGGCATACTCCTTCCTAACCTGTTCAAATATTTTAAGACCTATTATTATATTACTAGCATTCATCAAAAATTGACTTGTACGTATTTTTTTTTAATTGGAATTCTTTTCACAGTTCTGGTTCTGTTGTTATAATCAGAAATTAAAGGCTACTTATTTAAAGTCCCCCCAAAAATAAGAAAAATGAAAACTTAAATGGAAAATTAAAACAGAATGTCTAGTTTGGTTTATTGCCTTATCAAACGACATTACAACAAAAGAAAACACGATTCCATTCACACTGAAAAGGAAACAACATTAGCTACTGGGGAAGAAAGAAAGTATATTTTATGTCATGATTGAAATATTTACATTGTGTAATAAGCACTAAATAAAAATCAATTTTAGCTTTCTTCACAATTTTGCATTTTCAAATCTTTGAGAGCAGATTATTAAGAGGGATTTCTAGAAAACAGGAAAACAAACTGATTTGACACGTCATGGCTGATTGAGGAGAATAAGTTATTTTCTATAAATAAAGTTAAATACTAAAAATGGCACTTTAACCTTGAGATTATTAGTTATTAAGAGAAATTCAATGACAATTCAATGACAAGAACAGTGGTTTTGCAATTGTCCTGTCTAGATTCAAATCATGCCTTAGGATTTACTGGCTGAACTACCTTGGACAAGTCAGTTACTCTTTCTAAGCCTTAGTTTTCTCATCTTTAAAATACTGATGATAAAAATCTACCTTTCAAAGTTCCTGCGAACATTAAAGATGATATAGGTATAAAATACTTATAACCATTGCTGATATATAGTATTTAACCAGTAAACTCTAAGGTAATGAAGTTTTTAAAGGTGTATATGGGCACAACAAGCACTCAATTCATGTTAGTTATAATTACTAGGATAATTATTATATTACTAGTATATAAATATATACACTAAGGCAAATATATTCACTAGAACAAAACTTTTAAAACATAGTAATGCCTGGTCAATTAATCTTGGAAATCCTGTATCTAAATTTCCTTTTTTAATTGCTTCAGTCACTCATTCATTCACTCATTTTATAGACATTAGCAAGCATCAGCTTAAGACTGGATAAAAAGACACACGTTAACAGATAAGCATATAATTATACATTTTACTTAGTGATATGAAGGAAAAGAACAAGCAAGCAACAGAGAGATTAACAGGGTGCACCTAATGTATTTGTTGTATCAGAGAAGACTTTCCTGAGGAGGTGCTAAGTTAGACTGAAAAGACGATAAAGAGAAAAGAGGAGGAAGTAAAATTCCAGAAAATTGGAAGAAAATGAACAAAGCAAATGGAACAAAAAGCACAGTCTTATTGAGGAATTAAAAGAAAACTCAGTGAGTGTAAGGAAAAGGGGGACAAAATGAGGCTGCAGAGGTAAGAACAAGCCAGATCACATATAGCTGTATAGGTTACAATAAGATGTCTTTCATTTATTGTAAGTGCTTTATTCTTCTGCCACTGAAGAACTTAAGCAACTAAATGATGTGATGTGATTCGTGTTTTTAAAAAGATCACTAGAGAATGTCCATAAAATATGGCAGAATGAGAACATTTTTAAAACTATCCTCCCTCTCTTAAAACCCACTGAAAACAACAAAAAAACACCAGAAGAAAAAACACCATCTCCAACGAAACAACGAAAGGACCACAACCACAAACCACAAAATATGATGATTATCTTCCAAATACTGAGAAAGTCTGTGGTAAGGAAAGATGTTGAGAGATGACCAAAACCAGAAAACCTCCTCAGACCTCAAATCTTGGACAGGCTGCAGATATCTAAATGCATGTCAATCCTGAAAGTTCATTCCAGAAGTCCTTTGATTAACAGTGGAGAGGTTGAAAGGGAATGAGAAAGCTGCAATAGATGTGATTAATGACCCAGTGAAGACCCAGCTCCAAACACCCAAGAGAAGGAAGGTAGATTTGAAGAGGAAAAACCCACCATTTTTATGATCTGCGACCAAACCTCCTAACCCCAGGAGATTGTTGGTGATGAGAAGGGATAAAACACAGGCGCATAAATCATCATATTGGTTCTTAGAGGGCCTGTGAAATAAAGGGCTTCATAACAAATTGTACATGAAAATAAGAGGACATATGTTTCTGGATAGAGGACAAAATAAATATGATCAGATGGTGTTTAAAGGCAGCAACTTAAATCTGACACTGTGTACCACTCCACCTTACTCCCCTTTGCCTTTTCCTGCACTATTCTAAAATATATAATGGCCCAATTAGAGCTCTCTTTATTTTAAAAATGGCTAATAACCAGAAAGAAACCAGCAGGCGACCTATACATACATATAAGGAGAGGGAGAAGTATGAGGACAGAAACATAAATTGAATGTAGATGAAAATTATTTATCAGAGGAGGAATTATTCTACACAACAGAGAAAAAGTTCAGACATAAAGATGCAAAGAATTTCAAGATGCCATTTTTCTAGAAAAAGCTCAAAGAAGAGTTATAAGAAATACAAGTAACAATGAAGGCAATGAAATGCGAACCAGAAGAGTTTAAGAAAGACATGAAAAGAGAAAAAAAAATTATAGATGAAAACCATGTCAGATACAATAAAATCTGATTAAATACAATTGAAAAATCAACAGAGGAATGTGAGTGCAGGATAATCAAAATCACACAAAATGAAATAGAGAAAAGCAATCACATAGACATGTTCGTAAAAAAGATAATAATATCTATCACCACAAAGGACATCTAACATATATGTATATTGGGGTGCCTGAAGAAGAACATGGAAAAATGGGAAAGAAAAAATATTTGAGGATAGAAGGGAAGATGTTTGTATAATGAAATAAAAATAATCTTCATATCAGAGGAATAGCAGAAAAACCTGAAACAGACCTAAATAGGTTTAATGAACCTCAGAGATGATGAAAGAACTACACAGGTGAATGGCAGAAAAAATCATCACCTACAGATGGGAAAAATCAGGCTGGCCTCAGCGTAATAGTAGAGTAGTAGTAACATCTACTTCAAGAAGTGGGGCCACAACCCCCACAAAAGTTCATCATTTAATTACTATTCACACTTTCTTCAGCTTTTTAAAAACCTACCTTTAGTCTTCTACCCTACACTTAAGTCGGACTCATGAAGTTCAGCAGTGACTTTCTCATCAGAAGAACTAATGCATTTCCTCCTCTGTTGTTCAGTCCTCATACTTTTTTCTTGTTGTAGCTTTTGGCACTTCTGATCAATTTCTTCTCAAAACTCTCTTCTTGGGCTTTTGCCACGGTACACTATACCCTATACATAGTACACTACATTCTTCTCTCCCATCTGACTGTTCATTCACATTTCTGCTTTTTTTCTGCCATAATCCCAAAGCAAACATTTCCCATGATCCCCATGATTTGGCTCCTAACACTATGCCAAACTCCTTTCCTATACTTCAACTATATTGATAGGAAGACCCCCAAATTTATATCCCTATCTTAATCTCTCTTTTCCACTTTAGTTTCTTAACTTTTCCAACAGCTGACTGAATTTTCTTTAAAGATTTTTATTTATTTATTTGACAGAGAGATCACAAGTAGGCAAAGAGGCAGGCAGAGGGAGAGAGAGATGGGGAAGCAGGCTCCCTGCTGTGCAGGGAGCCCAATGCGGGGCTCGATCCCAGGACCCTGAGATCATGACCTGAGCCGAAGGCAGAGGCTTAAACCACTGAACCACCCAGGTGCCCCATGAATTTTCAACAGTATCTTCAATGTTCTAACTTAGTTTCCTCTCCTAAAATAGACTTCCTCTCCTAATTACTGATTTTAGTGATGGTATTACCATTCTCTCAATCCACAGACTTAAAACTTCAGACATCTTTTATTCTCTTCCTTTCTGTTTCGCCCCAGCTCCAATTAATTTCCTAGTTCTACCAAACCTTTCTTCAAAATATTTCTTTTTTTTTCTTCAAAATATTTCTTAAATCCTACCTTTCCATTTCATTTTCACTGCTGTCATCCTAGATACCATCCTAGTCTTGTAACATCAAGATGACAGCCGGAACTTCTTGTCTGTGTTGGGCGCTACAAACATACTGACTTCCCTATTAGCATCACTGTTTAGAAACCTACAAAATTCCTCATGAGGACAAGATCAAGTTAGAAACATCAGTTTGACAGTTAAAATTCCCCATAACCTGACAACATCTAGCTTGGGTCTTATATGTGTCCAACATTATTTGCTCTAACATCATGAAAGAGTTTGAGCTTTAGAAGTAAAAAATCTGAACCCAAACTCTGGCTCTGCCATTTATTAGCAATGTGGTTATGAGTAAGTAAACTAACTTTTCTGGGCTTCAGTTTCTTCAAATAAAAAATGAGGATAATAATACCAACCTCACCAAGGTATTTTAAGATAAGATAATGAATGTAAAGGGCATGGTAGAGCATCTGCCACAAAGTAAAAACTCAATAAACAATTGCTGTTATGCCACTTTTCCTATATAAAAAATAGACCAGTTCCTTTCCCCTGTCAAAATCTATCCGTTCTTTGAGGCCTAAGTTATAACTAACTTTGTCCACAAGAACCTGTTCTGAACAGCTCAGCCTCAAGTGATCTTTCATAGGAATCCCCTCAGAAAATATTTCCCTTATAAACATTTGTACCCTCTAACTTAGTTTGTAAGCTCTGTCTGAAGAGTGATTCTGTTATACATACTCTGTGTTCCTGCTTTGCTTAGGAGAAACTACATAAATATCTGTTAAATATTATTGCTTCATCTACCAATGCTGAAATGATTATTTGGGGATTTATAGAAGAGCTTAATGCTCATCTCATTATACTGACTTTTTCTGAAGAAAGTAAATGGTTTCCATACCTATTTGTTTAATATGACCCACCCAATAGCTCAGTTTTATTACTAAGATGTTAATAACATTGCTATAGCTGAAAAGAGTTTATTTCTCTATAATAATGTATTCTTCAGATTTTACTTTAAAACCGTTAAACAGTCAATCTAATAAGAATTTTTCCGGGATGTCTGGGTGGCACAGTCAGTTAAACTGCTGCCTTCAGCTTAGATCATGATCCCAGGGTTCTGGGATCGAGTCCCACATTGGGCCCCTTGCTCAGTGGGGAGCCAGCTTCTCCCTCTGCCTGCTCTGCCTGCCATTCCCCATGCTTCTGCTCAATCTCTCTCTGACAAATAAATAAATAAAATCTTTTAAAAAAATTGTTTAATACCTATCAATACACTTCAAGCAAGATCCACAAAGGAAACATAAGCTAAGCAAGTGACATAATCTTCTCCCATTCAGTGGCTTCTGGAATCAAACCAATGACTCAAATTTTATTTTCATCAAAGAAAGAAATATTTTAAGATATATTTCAGTCAGCTTGTAATTAGAAAATTATTTTCTAAACACATATAGGTTCCTTACTTAAGATATACAAATATAAAAAGCAAAAACATGTTTCTAATGTGATTTTAAATAGATTTAAATAGGTTTTAAATGACTTAGAAATTTTTCAAATGTTCCTCTGTAATTGTACCTACACAACAAAAGAATTTCAGAGCTGAAAACATCTGTCTATTATCCCATAGTTTTGTTTATATATCATTAAATAAGTGATTTGGCTGAGTTTTTTTTCCATCAAATAGACAGATGGACTGTTAGCCTTTTTTTTGTACTAGGTAGCTGGATATTTTATTAATTCATAAACATAAATGAACCATATCATTAAAGATTTAATGAAATACATTATTCTTAATAGATACTATTTCATTTAGAATGATAGTGCAAGGGTTTCCTTTTTTCCAGTCAGTGAATCACTACAAAATTATCTCTATCTAAAATAAATTTTTATAATCTCTTTTAATCCACTTGATATTATTTTGTTGAAAGATGTGTTTAATGATTATGAATTAATTTAATTGATATGTTTAATGTATCTTTCTTTGGTATACTACAACTTCTTCATATTCTCTTAACATGACTATGTATTAAGTCTATGGTTTTTCTATAAAGAATGCTGACCTATATTTAGCAGTTGAATTCCCAATTGAATTTCAGCTGGACAAGAAAAACATATAGCCTACTCATCACTTTACCAGAATTAAGTAACCTTTCAGTCTGCCAATAAAAACAACGACAACAAAAATACATTTGAACCAGTTTTGCATTCTGGTTGGATGCATTATAGTTAACAACAAATTCACTCACTATAGCCAGGATACATTTCTGAAACTGATCTGTTCTGTACTGCTCAGTCTAGAGATTTCTTTTTGATAAGCTAATACATTATGACAGATTTAAAAAAACAACAACTTACAGGAGGTCCAGTGTCCCCTTTTGGCCCTCTTAGTGTCTCCATTTCGAGCATTGCATTAAGATCCTCATAATAATAGTAATAATCATAAAGGTCAGTCTCATAGCTACTTGCGATGGAGTAGGTAGCATCAGGATCAAATTCACCTTCTTTCCTAAGGTCAAGGTGATTGTCCACAGCTGGTTCCTCTGTCACTCTGTATAAGGTTGTGTTTAAAATCTGTTGTAATTCCATGAGTTCATTAGTGTGTAGATTTGCTGTGATAGCCTTCTTGAGATCAGTAATTGTTTCTTGTTTCATATGTGGAAGAACAGATGATATCTTCTTAAATGGTGACAAACCAGTTACTCTATCATTATGTTGTGTGACATTGTCAAACACATTTGGGAGAAAACTAAATTTCTCCTTGCTATTTGTTCTTGCCTTATTGAGATGACGGGTCACTGACAGGCTTACATTTGTCTGAGTATGTTCCTCAGTGATCATTTCTTTGGCCTGAATTCCATGGTTTACATGATCCACAGCAGAGACATTGCTTGAATGAAGAGACTTTGACTGAGCCTTTGATATCTGGTGTCCTTGTTGTTTACGGACTATTGCAGGTTCATTATTTATGATATTTGGGATGCTTTTGCCTCTGGTAAATGTGTGTTCTGACACCACTTTTTCACCAAATTGTCTGGGCAAAGGAGAGTTTTCCAGTATCTCAGCTGATACAATGGTTGAATGAAGAAGGTTTATCTCAGGGCGACAACGCTGGCTCACATATCTGCAATAATCTGCAAATGCTTCTGCCGAAGGAATAATGTCCAACTGACATACTACTCCTTCAAAATGGACAGAATTATTATTCATACTTCCTAAGGTAAATACACTGTTAGGATCAAAAGTCTGAACTTCCAAAAGAGTCTCTCTGCTAAAATATTTCTTTCCACACTCAACATACATTGAGACAACTTGGTTTCTAACAGTAATGGCAAATGAGTGCCATCGCTCATTGTGAACACTGTAGTTGAAAAATACAGACTGCTTTCCTCCAAGGTATACTACTAATTTTTTAGGTAATAATTGCACTCCTAATTGCAGTCTATTTTTATGTCTAATGCTGAAGAGAAATGCATTGTTTACTCTATGGGACTGCAACCCAATTAATATTGTAAATGGCTGTTCTAAGTTGACTGGTAGAACTTTCAAAAGAGGTGACTCAATGTAAGTATCATTAGTGAAAATGACACCTGATTCTGTTAAATGGACCCCCTGAGGTAATGGTGTAGATGATGATGGTACAGCAGTCACCGATGATAGGTGTCTTACATCTTTGCCTCCAAGGCCTAGTTGATGAAGAATGTCTATGCCTGGGAATTAAAAAGAGAGAGAGAGAAAGAGAAAGAATCTTACTCTTAGGCATTCATGTGTTTATATAAATGTTTGAATATGAGAGCATATTCCTTGTCTGTATCAATAGTAACCCCTAAAATAAGCAAGCTCTATCAATTTCCAGGTAATAAGATATGGAGAGGAAGAGTAAAATGTTATACTCAGTAATTTGACACACACACATACATACACATGCAGCCATGGGTGTGTGTGTGTATAGGCACATGCACACACATCAATATTCCTAAACCCCAAATTTAATAAATGTTCTCTCATTTTTCCTGATCAATTAGGAATCTTATTTTTTACTCCAATGAATATTATTTAACTTGGAACTTAAAACTGAATGACTTCTATGTTAAATAGAAACAAATTTATACAAACAAAAAAATTTATAACTTGGAAATCATTTTATAAATTAAGTTCACATAATCTTTTAAACTATATTTTTTCAGGCTACATTCCCTTACAGTCTTTTGGGAATTTACAAGTCACATAAAAGTTTTCCCTATGCCTAATACAGTAAGTTTGCTACACATAGAATATTCAGTCACCTTGGATTATACCATGTGAGGGCATAGCAAGAAGTTGGCGTTCTGCAAACTGTAAGAGGCTCTCACCAGAAACAGACCATGCTAGCACTCAATCTTGGACTTCTGGCCTCCAGAACGAGTGCATCTTGTCTGGATCGTGGTTGATACATTCAGTTATACATCCCTTCAACCACCTCTCCACAAAATGACTAAGAGGAGGAACACCCAACAGAGGAAAAATTCAGAGACTGTGCCCTCTGCCACAGAACTATTGAATATGGACATAAACAGTATGTCAGAAAGGGTATTCAGGTAATAATTATCTAGGCAATGGCTAGGTTGGAGAAGACCATTAGTGACAACATAGAATCTCTAAGGGCAGAAATGAGCCAATCTGGCAGAAGTTAAAAATGCTATCAATGAGATCCAATCTAATCTAAATACTCTAATAGCTAGGGTGAGTGACCAAGGCAGAAGATAGAACTAGTGATCTAGAAGACAAAATGATAGAAAAGAAGCATCAGGAGGAGGCCTGAAACAAACAGCTTAGAAGCCATGAAAACAGAATTAGGGAAATGAATGACACCATGAAACATTCCAATATCAGAATTATTGGGATCCCTGAGGGTGGAGAAAGAGAGAAGACTAGAAGATATAGTTGAACAAATTCTGGATGAAAATTTCCTTAATCTGAGGAATGGAACAAGTGTTTGTGTCCTAGAGGCAGAAAGGATACGCCACAAGATCAACAAGTCTAAAAAGACATCCAGACACTTAATTGTGAAAATCACAAATCAAAATTTCATACAAGAGCTCCTGAGGACAGCTGGGGGAAGAGATTCCTTACATACAGAGCAGGACGATCAGAATAAGGTCAGACCTGTCCAAGGAAACCTGGCAAGCCAGAAAGGGCTGGCAAGACATATTCCAGGCACTAAATGAGAAGAACATGCAGCCAAGAATTCTTTATCCAGCAAGCCTGACATTCAAAATGGATGGTGAGATAAAGAGCTTCCAAGACCAGCAAGGTTTAAAAGGGTATGAGACTACCAAGCCAGCACTACAAGAAATATTAAGGGGGGGGGGTTCTATAAAAGAAGAAAGAACCCAAGAGTGACACAGAACAGAAATTTACAGAGACAATCTATAGAAACAAAGGACTTCACAGGCAAGATGATGTCAATAAAAACTTATCTTTCAATAATCACTCTCAACGTAAATGGCCTAAATGCTCCCATAAAATGGCATGGCATTGCTGACTGGATAAAATGACAGGACCCGTCCATATGATATCTATAAGAGACACACTTGGAACCTAAAGATACATCCAGACTGAAAGTGAAGGGATGGAGAACTATCTTTCATGTCAATGGGCCTCAAAAGAAATCTGGGGTAGTGATTCTCATATCAGATAAATTAGTTTTAAGCTAAAGACTATAGTCAGAAATACTACATACTACATCATTCTTAAAGGGTCTGTCCACCAAGAAGATCTAACAATTGTAAATATTTATGCCATATGGGAGCAGCCAACTAAGAAAGCCAACTGTTAATCAAAATAAAGAGTCATATTGATATGAATACATTAATTGTAGGGAATCGCAACATGTCACTCTTAGTAATAGCCAGATCATCCAAGCAGAAAATCAATAAAGAAACAAGAAATTTGAGTTACACATTGGACCAAATGGACCTTATAGATATATACAGAACATTCCACCCTAAAACAACAGAATATTCATTCTTCTCAAGTGCACATAGAACTTTCTCCAGAACAGACCACATACTGGGTTACAAATCAGGGCTCAACTGATACCAAAAGACTGAGATTATTCCCTGCATATTCTCAGACCACATTGCTTTGAAACTGGAACTCAACCACAAGAAAAAGTTTGGAAGGAATTCAAATACCTGGAAGCTAAAGACCATCCTACTCAAGAATGTTTGGATCAACTTGGAAATCAAAGAACTTAAACTATTCATGGAAATCATTGAGAATGAAGACACATTGGTCCAAAGGAGGAAATACATAGCCATCCAAGCCTCACTCAAAAAATCTGAAAAATCTCAAATATACCAACTCTCTTTATACCTTAAAGAACTGGAAAATCAACAGCAAATTAAGCGAACCCCACGCACAAGAAGGGAATTAATCAAGATTAGAGCAGAGATCAATGAGTTGGAAAGTAGAGATACAGTAGAACACATCAACAAAACTAGAAGCTGGTTCTTTGAAATAATCAATAAGATAGATAAAGCACTGGCCAAACTAATCCAAAAGGAAAGAGAAAGGACCCAAATTAATAAAATTATGAATGAAAGGGGAGAGATCACAAATAACCCCAAGGAAATGGAAACAATTATCAGAAATTATTATCAACAGTTATATGTCAGTAAGTTAAGCAATCTAGAAGAAATGGATGCATTCCTGGAAACCTATAAACTTCCAAGACTGTAACAGGAAGAAACTGACAACCTGAGTGGACAAATATCTATTAATGAGATTGAAGCATTGATCAAAAACCTCCCAAAAAACAAGAGCCCAGGATTTGATGGATTCCCTGGGGAATTCTACCAAACATTCAAAGAAGAAATAATACCTATTCTTCTGAAGCTGTTTCAAAAAATAGAAACAGAAGGAAAACTTCCAGAATCTTTCTATGAAGCCAGCATTACTCTGATCCCCAACCAGGCAAAGACCCCATCAAAAAGGAGAATTTCAGGGACACCTGGGCGGCTCAGTGGGTTAAAGCCTTTGCCTTTGGCTTGGGTCATGATCCCAGGGTCCTGGGATCAAGCCCCACATCAGGCTCTCTGCTCAGCAGGGAGCCTGCTTCCTCCTCTCTCTCTGTCCTCTCTCTGTCTGCCCGCCTCTCTGCCTACTTTTTGTTCTCTACCTGTCAAATAAATAAATAAAATCTTAAAAAAAAAAAAAGGAGAATTTCAGACCAATATTGTTGATGAATATGGATGCCAATATTCTCAACAAGATCCTAGCTAATAGGATCCAACAGTACATTAAAAAGACTATCCACCATAACTAGGTGGGATTTATCCCTGGGAAGCAGGGGTGGTTCAACATTCGCAAGTCAATCAATGTGATAGGACACATCAGTAAGAGAAGAGAGAAGAGCCACATGGTCCTCTCAATTGATGCAGAAAAAGCATTTGACAAAATACAGCATCTGTTTCTGATTAAAACTCTTCAAAGAATAGGGATAGAGGGAACATTCCTCAACTTCATAAAATTTGTCTATGAAAAACCCACAGCAAATATCATCCTCAATAGGGAAAAGCTGACAGCTTTCCCTCTGAGATCAGGAACATGACAAGAATGTCCACTCTTGCCACTGTTGTTCAACATAGTACTAGAAGTCCTAGCAACAGCAATCAGAAAACAAAAAGAAATAAAATGTATTCAAATTGGCAAAGAAGAAATCAAACTCTTTCTCTTCACAGATGACAGGATATTTTATATGGAAAACCCAAAAGACTCTACCCCCAAACTACTAGAATTCATACAGCAGTTCAGTAATGTGGCAGGATATGATATCAATGCACAGAAATCAGTTTTCTTACACATGAACAATGAAAATATAGAAAGAGGGAAACTAGAGAATCAATTCCATTTACTATAGCACCAAGAACCATAAGATACCTGGGAATAAACCTAACCAAAGAGATGAAGGATCTCTACTCAAGGAAAGAACACTCATGTTCACACGAGTGACAGAACACAGAACACTCATGAAAGAAATTGAAGAAGACACAAAAAGATGGAAAAGCTTTCCATGCTCATGAACCAGAAGAAGAAACATTGTTAAAATGCCTATACTGTCCAGAGCAATCTGGACACTTTCAGTGCCATCCCAATCAAAATTCCACCGGCATTTTTCAAAGAGCTGGAACAAACAATCTTTAAAGTTGTATAGAACTATAAAAGACCCCAAATTGCTAAGGAAATGTTGAAAAAGAAAAACAAAACTAGGGGCATCAAGTTGCCTGATTTCAAGGTTTATTACAAAGCTGTGATCTCTAAGACAGCATGGTACTGGCACAAAAACAGACACATAGACCAGTGGAACAGAGTAGAGAGTCCAGATATGGACCCATAACTCTATGGTCAAATAATCTTCAACAAAGCAGGAAAAAACACCTAGTGGAAAAAAGAGAGTCTCTTCAATAAGTGGTGCTGGGAAAATTGGACAGCTATGTATAGAAGAATGAAACTCGACCATTCTCTTATACCATACACAAAGATAAACTTGAAATGGATAAAAGACCTCAACGTGAGGCAGGAATCTATCAAAATCCTAGAGGAGAACTTGGCAGTAACCCCTTCAACATCGGCCACAGCAACTTCTTTCAAGACATGTCTCCAAAAGCAAAGGAAACAAAAGTGAAAATGAACTTTTGGGACTTCATCAAGATAAAAAGTTTCTGCA